CTCAATTACTTAACTGTTGCGCCGAGTACTTTTTTGTCTCCATGGACAATTTGCCATTTTACTTGCTTGCGACTTGAGGCTTTAATGAAACGAAGGCGAATTCGACGCAGCTGCTATAACGAGGCGACAAGCAGGAATCATTATTTATTATCAAAAGCATTGTTATGCCGTTTTCCACGGAGAACAGAATTTGATGGATTAGCTTTATCGCGCTAGCTCGCCTCGAAACAACACGACAGGTGTTCCCTCTGCTAGTATTACTTTATTACTTTGTTCCTTGCCACTCTGCTGCGAGTAAATGAGCTTGTACTCTATTGTTTTTTTTTCTTCGTCGCCTTTTTTTTTAATCCTCTGCTTTTTTCGAGTGATACCAACTACGTTTACAGTTAGACGGACATTAATAGGATCCTAAATGAAAACGAGATCTGGATATGGACCAGATCCAAATTTTCACGTAGCACCGTCTGTCATGGGAATTTTGAATTTTTCAGACAGAAAAGAAAAAGACGTTAGGCATCTAATTGTTCCTGGATCCGTGAAATAAAAGGGAAGAAGGGAAAACGAGGTTTCGGATTTTATTACAAAGAGAAATCTTTTTTTTTATTTCGGAACGATTACTCAAATTTCTCAGTGAAAGGAGTGCGTTTCCTATTAGAGAGAGGCAGAGAGGGGGGAGAGAGAGAGAGAGAGAGAGTCTCTCTTAAGGCCAATGACAGAAGAAGGAAATCCCGTTTAGGGTGTAAAGGACCCTTTTTCTCTTAGGTGGTTGTAGGTATATTCTTCAATTTCTGCCTGCACTGGCTTCCCATTCCGTCCGCGACCCTTCCGGGTTGACTGGAAGAAGTGAGGGGAAAAAAAACAGACGAGAGAAAAAAAAAGTACGTAACCCTCGGGTCACAGGGTGAATACCGTTTTACCGACTATTAACTCACTTTTACCCCTATTCCAGCCCCGGGAACTTTGCTGCTTTTTTTCTCCCGTACCAACCCACTGCTCTCACCCCTCCTTTTTCATCCCTCTTCATCTTTCTCCACACTGCAGCTACTACCATCACCTTCATGGCTACCCCTCTCCTAGGGGGTTCCTTCGCGTAATCTTCCGTTTTTTCCCGTTTTTTTTTCTCCTTTTTTTTCTTACCTTTTTTCATTCTTCCCTCGATCGTGCAGCGCGTGCAGGTAAAAACTGCAACCAGCTACCTGCGACTATCCGGAAGGGATGATGATGAAGAGGAGGAAGCCGTTCAGGGCACCACGCTCGATTTAACGTGTGAGAAAAATCGGAACCCTATACTCGCCGGCACCCCGAGTCGGGGTTAACCGATTTCCCTGCAAATTTTGAAATTCGACCCCGAGACGCTCCCTTGTCTGTCCTAAGTAGCCTATAAAAATGGGTCTCATGAAACTCGTTCCTGGCGCCTTCCAACACGTACGTCGGAGCAGCGAATGCACGGCACGTTAAGGACCTTTAGGAACGTATACAGATCTTAACGTAAATCGATGCAAATCTCTTATAGCACGTGTTATCAGTTTTGATTTACGGAAATGGGGTAGCAAAAGTTTTTTCAAATTTGATATCGGTTCGACGATATTTCGGTGCCGCCGAGTATTTGTGCTTCCGACGAGACGAAGGCGCCCCGAAAAGAAACCAGTTCCTTACCTCCGCGTTCTTGAAAAATCGTGAGTCGTTCGTTATCTTAATTATTATTAATGGAGCGCGCCGAACAAACCCGGCGCGCCGCGTAAGAAAAGGAAAAGACGAACACGATTTTGAAATTAAAAATTCGAAAGTCAGCCCCGGATTCCCGGATAATGATCGAGTGGGTCCAGGGTCACGGATCGAACGGAACGTTTCAAAACGAGAAGAAACACAGCCCTCCCGTGGCGCAGGACGTTTCGTACTAGGACCTAAAAAATCGACTCGATTTAGCCCCCTACGATTTCTCTGTCTCCCTCCTACCCCTTTCCTCCCGTGGTCCTTTTACTTCAATTCTGCCCTCTGGTTATATCCTCGTCCTCTCGTTCCTTCGTTCCCTCATTCTCTCGATCTTCTCTCATCTGAAATTCTCTCGGTCGCTCTTTTTCACCACTTTTTTTTCCCCTTCTTCTCATTCCCTCCCAGTCTTCCTTTCCCTCCACCGCCACTCTCTCGCTCTCTCGCACCAAGCCAATCGTCGCGACCCGCCCCTCTCGCATCGACACCAGTCGCCGCCGACACGAGTAATTACATGGGTTTACGTACGCTTACTCGTACGTACACGCAATGCACACGTTGCGGGAGTTACTCGCATGAATATTTATTCGTCGCAACTGCGCGTCCGTGTCTTCCCACTGCATGTGCTCTTTCGCCCGGCGTTGCATGTGCAGTCGTTTCAGACGCAGCAAGATCATCGACCGGCGCTCACGAGGGAACCGAGGGCGCGAGCGAGAGAGGCTCTCGCGTTATTTATTAGCTACGGGTAATGGCTGTTACGTGGCCGATCGATCGCCCGCGAAAACTTTCGAAAGTGCGAAGAATATAGGGGAAGGAAATTATGAGAAAAATGAAAAAAAAAGTATAGCGGAGTTTTGATGGAATGATTTTTTTTTTCTTTCCTTTTTTCGTAATATCATCGATCAGTCGCGAAAATTTTTTGAGGAAAAAGAAAAATAGGCACCCGATGAGTTCCCGTGGATTTTTGCTAATGTCATCGATCTGCGTACCACCCCTACCCACGGTAGGGGATGCTCGGGGAAAAGTTACCGAGGAGCTACGGAACAATTTCATACGTGGGTCTTTCCCGTCATTTCTTGTCGATGTCATCGATCTACTGCGCAACCCTGTCCTCTGGGGGTCGCTGATCCCTTCGGGTCCTTAAGCCCTTCCTGGGCCTCAATTTTTAAACCCAATTTTTTTTTTTTTCTTTCGGGTTGTCCCACCACACCGATGAACCCGATCAATGGGGTTCAGGTAAGATCCTAGACCTTGACGTTCTCATGGACCGTCTTACGCTTATATGGACATCTATCTACCTGAACCTTCGATCCTGGATCCTGTATCCCGATTCCTGAATCCTTTTGGGGGATATTAAAAAGACAGCACCGTACGTAGGACGTGTTGGTTTATCGCTTATACATATCGCAAAATTCAATGGGATCCAAGGGGGTAGTTTTTGATGCCAACCGATTTTTTTTTAAAGCCCTTTGGAGAAATCGTACCTGTGTCTCGTGTGTGAATCTTCGATTTTACAGTTCACGTTTTTTTCTGTTATTTTTTTTTCGTTCAATGATTTTGCGTTACCCACTTATCATTTTCGAAAGATTACCTGGGAATGTAATCTTTACGTCGACTGCCGTTTAGCTATTAAAATATTTCGTATCCTGATTCATTGGATGATCCTTAATGAATACCCGTGCCTAATGGGATTTTCGGGAAAAGAAATTATGCCCTTATATGGAGTGTGCGACTTGAAAAATTATAGACACTTTGTAAATTTCTGTGGTGATAACTCACGTGTTTCTTTTTTTTTCACATACGTATAGCTAATGTGTATGGCCATAAGTCAAGAGAAAAGCAATTACGAGGTTTTAACTTGGAAACGTCTCAATTTCACGAAACTGCCCCAAAAAAAAGTTTACCCTCTGAGTTTTTTCACCTTGGCGCCCCATAAGCCTGTCACTTTGTTATTCCCCCATATCGGCATCCCCACTAGTGGGTTGTACCGAACCAATGGGAGACTTTACTTCATGGGATCCTAAAATCAAGACTCCCCACTCTGCGGAAATTGGAGTTTCCAAAATCTTGGAATATCCGAGTCGAGGCAGTCTTGCCGCGCTCGTGGCAAGGAACGCTCCGTGGAACTCTCGACGATTGGAGTATGGGTAAATTAAGTGAAATTGGAACTTTTGTTAACACGAAAAGAAAGCATATATGACTAACGGTAACATACGTGTAATCTGATGTATATAGATATTCGTGGACACTTAATTAACTTTAGGCGGGTTGCCGATGGACGATTATTATTCGGTTCGTTAATGGCAATCTCCAGCAATGCTAAATTCAATTTTTCGCTTGTTAATGTTCGCGAAAAAAAATGGCTGTGCTCGTCAGCCAATACGACGCTGAATAAAGTAAATTCGCAAGCGAGAATGAAAATTAAAAAAAAAATGTACAAATGGATATTAAATGATAATAATAATCGTTGCATTATCCGTAAAAGTATTTCGTCTCTTTTTGCGGAAGCGATCGATTGACAATGCAAAAAAAAAATAAGTGATTTGCGAAGTTATCAAAAGTGAAAATTCGTCGCGGACAACGCGATCTAATTTACTCGATAACCAGCGACTTTGCAGTATTACAAAGGCGAGGTAGCGAAACTTCGAAGGCGACGCGAGTAAATGATTGAAAAGCGCGAAAGCGCTCGAGAATTTATCGCAAATTTCGCGATAGTTGCGAACTCGCCCGTACAAATGAAATTTACGTACACTTGACACGCCGTTTACTCGCGCGATAATAGAAACTCTTTCCTTTGGTTTGTTGCACATTAAAAGTACAATACGAGGGTCAAGCAAGAAGTGTGCTATGAAATCAGCTTTATTTGACAGCTTTCAATTTGGCTATTAGAATGCACAGTATCTGTATATATATTTATCACAAATTAGAATCGCAAAGAAAAGAAAAAGAAAGAAATTTCATTACCAAGAATAACAATTGAATTCGGAACGAAGGTGAAAATTTTGCATATCGTAATTCTGGAAAATTTGCTTGTTTATTAAAATTTACATCGATAACGGTTAAGAGCGATGCCATTAAAAAAAAAGAACAAGAAAAAACGAAAAAAACAAAGGCTACATTTTTTTTGATCGAACTCCTGAGTTTTCGTATACAAAATTTACACGACGCATTATCACACGTAATGCCAAGAATAATGCATTGGATCCGCTGCGATTATACAACGAGTTACGCGTGGCTAATGAACGGTTGAACTCGGTTTATTCGACTGGGGATTTTTTTCATTCTTTCAGGAAAGGTCAGCGACGCCTCGTCCACGGCACCAGGAAGTCCACCGACGCCGCCGCACACGCCGCAGAGTCCACCTAGGCAAAATCCTCCGGCGAATCTCTCGCAATCGAGTCAAACGTCGAGCGCGGGTTCGCCGAGTCTGGGCAACCCCCTGCAAACACTTGCGAACTCGCCCCTCAGTCAGATACTCGTACAGAATCCAGCGCTGGCCCAACTCCTACAGCAGAATCCTGCGATCCTCACGCAAAATCCCCAACTCGCTCAGCTGCTGCAGCAAAACTTGCAGGCGCAAATGGGCAGCGTTCTCTTCCAGAATGTTCGCAGGGACGAGAACGACGAGGCCAGGGTGAGTTCCTTGTTAAGCACGATTACCAACATACGGGACGGGTACGAGAAATCATTTAAGAAAATTCGTTAAAAGAATAAGTGTCGAAATTTTGACAGTGCCAAAAAAATATTCAAAAAAGTAGACACTCGCTACCAGAATGCGCTTCATAATCCACTCACGATTTTCGCATGAATTGGGCGACGAGCGACGAAGAAACAGGGATGAAAGGGAGAAGGAAAAAAAAGGAAAAAAAAAAGAAATGCGACCTATCCGCAAACAGGAATTCCAAGAACGGTCCATTGTTTCGTCGTTAATCGTTCGTGGCGAATTAAAATTTAACAGCCGGCACTTAAGCGCGCGAGCGAACGGCTTGGCAATGGTCGGATCGTGTATCGCCTGCATGTTTGATAGGTTGCGAATTTCTTACGTGCACGAGACTCTCGTTTCGTGATAACGCGGAGCGCGTGGCCGGCGGAGCACAGAACTTTTGGTATCGTGTATCCCGGTATCGTCGCCCGATCTCCGACGATGCACGATCTTTCCCGATGGAATTTGCGCGACCTGCGAAATTCCGTGTGACGTATTGTTGCCGTACCTCCCTTCCCCCCCATCTCCCTCCCCGTCACATTCGTGCATACCCCAAACCAAAAAACGTGAAAAATTACATATACGAAAAGCGCGTCGGCACGGTCCTCGACGCCGCGACGTATCAATGCCCATATATCCCTGGTGTAGAATTCATACGGAGAAAATTCAAATTATTCCACCGATTTTTTTTCGTGTCGTTTACATTATTTCGCCTTTGAATATTAATGGGCATATGCTCTCCGGCGTTATGGCACAAGAAGTAACAACAGCGTATAATACTTGACTCTTAACGTTATTCTATTGTTTGCAAATCAGCTCTATTGTTTTCTCATATACCTCTATACTCTCGGTTGCCCTCCCTTCCCGCTCATCTACCCTCCTCTGGATCCCCTCCTTCTATATATTACCCCCTCTATACACTTCTCTCTCTATCCATCGTATATCCTCCGAATACTCCTCCTTCGCTTCTACTTGCTCTCTCTCCCTCTCTCTCTCTCTCTCTCTCTCTCACTCCTTTTACCCGTACTCACTTATTATTTCCCTCTTGCTCGCTTTCTCGACTACCATCCTCATAAACGTGTGACAGTATTTTCTTTTGACTCTGGGTAGTTCCTCCTTCTCGTACCTACCAGTCTCTAAGTCTCATGTGGATATACATATACGTATACATCTTACGTGCATATATCATACGAATACTTGTAGATATTGCTCACGGTATCTATTTGCTATATTAAATAATTTGAAATGGCCTATTGGTCTGTGGATAATGGCACAGGCAGGTACTAACTCCTTGTAGGAAATTCGAATGATACTTTTTTTTTTTATCTTTTTTATTTTTATCCGTATCCTTTCTTTACATCCGCGAGATGGCTATGGGCTAACTTAATGGGGATCAGGATGCTCCTGACCCGTGACGTCGTGAATCGCGATCGGTAGATCGGGAAGAGTAACGGTTTCGGCGGCGATCCGGGAAACGAAGTGGATCCGCGTGACTCGCGGAATTCGATCGAGATTCGTGATTCGAGATCAAGTTCGATGCTGGCGGACAAACAGATAGGAAGACCGAGCGAATGATTGAGTTAGCGGAACAGAGAGAGTGAGAGAGAGAGGGAAGGAATGTAAGGGGACAAGGAGCGAAGAGGCTGTCTGATGGCGGAGGCTACGAATAGAGGAGGTGAAGAAGAAGGGAATGGCAAGTGTCGAGGCCGATATGTGGAAACTACTTTAAATTCAGCACCGCGGATCGGATCGTAGCTAGGGCTTCGGAAATCGTAGAGGATTCGAATAATTTGAAGCTCCGCGGGGCTTCCGGCCTCCTCTCAGTTCCATCTTCGTCCTTCTCTCGCAATCACGTTCGAAATCAGATCGTCTCTTTCTTTTTTCTTTTTCTTTTTTTTTCCTTCTCATCTGCCTACGCTTCTTTTTATTCCACTTCGTTCCTCCGCGGCTGTACCTCCC